CTCTCCTATTGCTGCTTTGATGGCATCGGCGTGTGCCTCTATGGAGGAATCTACTGGTACGGTAAGCGAGTTTGTGAGGTCAGGTGCTAGGCTATGGCTCCACATCATTGTTCCTTTTGAGAATGTTTCCCCGAACTTTTTCAACGAGACGGGCTCGAACTCATCATCTAGAAGGTCACTGCCTATTCCCGCACATGTGTAAGCGGTGGTGCGCTCGTCAGGATCCGAGGTCATGTCATACGTAGGGAGTTCCGGCGTACCGGACTTCCGTGAAATGAGTTCCGAGACCGCTTCCTTGGGGGATGACTATTGCACGAACTTCCACGAACCTGACTCGATCCTCTTGGAGAGATCCCCAAGCACCTTTGCTATGGAAGGGTCTGTTACCAATCAGTCGATGACCAACTGTTGTGCCTGCAACATTTTAAAAATAACGTAAAGACTAACTACCTGTGTTTCCCGAGCCGGGGTTGTTGGGCTTCCTATCGGTCGATATGCTCTATGCTCCCATAGGTGTGCGAGGCTTCGTCGACCTGTTTCCCGCCTTGCAAACCCCCATGCGCTGGAATCGGCCTAGATGCGTTATCGGGGTTTTACGGTGTCGCGCCAACCACTGGAACAACACACCGTTTTTGCCGTGATTTTCGAGGCAGTCGTTCTCAACTCTGTTTACTGAGACAGACATTTTGACCTAAAATCAAGAGATCTTTGGGCAAGAAAAAGTGTGAAAGATAACTCGCGTTTGTGCAATGAAACCAGCAAGAAAATAATCACAATTATTTTTAGCCCTACGGTGGGCGCCAAACTGTTTACCGTGAAAATGGTAACGATAATTAAATTTGTAAATGGGATTCCAAAAATACGTGATCTATTCTCGAGCTAGTTATTTAGAGAAGTTGATGCTAAGAATACGAAATTTAGCGATGAAATGCAAGCTAAAAATGGGGTGATAAAAACTCAAAGGTTGAAAAGGCAAAAGTAAAAGGAGGCTTGAAGGAAGAAGACCATGAATAGTGATTCCGTCACTATTCATCGGCCATAACTCTTTCATCCGGTGAGGGAACACTACAAAATTGGTCTTAAAAGAAGACCATTCTCATCACAAACAACCTCCCTTTGTTTTTTCACTGATTTCTATATCAAGAAGCTACAAATCTTAATTTTAGTTTTTCCAGTTACTGTAGCGTAGAGTTATTTCATTGAAACTGCTTCATTATTCAACTTTGTAATGTGAATCTGTTATGCTCTAAGATCAAGTGTTGGTTTGTTGAAAAACTATATACTTGTATAACAATTCTACTGATTATCAGTTGAGTTCGAAAATTACTGTAGCACGACATCTCTCTTGGTGAATTATCTGGTAGATATTCGATCTAGATTTTGGCTACTATTAATGTAGCATCACGTTTCTTTAGTGATTTACAACTTTCGCGAAGTATCCAAATTTTGAAGAACTCCTTGTAGTATTAGAATCGTCCTTAGTGTTTTGGGTTGATTTAGGGAAGACTGTCATGCAGTGCTGCCATGGTCACTATGGCCAGTGGCCAGCCACCCTCTCACGTTGGGCCACCTCCACAACCACCCCCCAACATCACCCAGCCTTCTAACAACACAAAACCTATGGACTATGCAAATGCTGTAAAACCTACGAACAACACTTCGACAATGTAAAAACGTGCAACAGTAGTTGAGACAATTCCTCCAAGACAAGCCCATATATTTCAAGGACAACCAACTGTACGATTTTCTGAAGCAGAAGTTGAACGCATGAATTTAATGGAAGGTTTGCAACAGGCTGTTGTTTGCAAATTTTCATACGGATGGCCAGATATCAATGAAATACGTTGCATTGTTCCTTTATAGTGTGGTATCAAAGCTGAATGCAACATTGGATATCTACGTGATAGGCACATTTTGATTTGTTTTTAATTATGGCAAGATTATGTAGACTTCTCGTCAAAAGGTGTGTATTATGTAAAGGATAAGCTTGGAGATGAATATCAATTAAGAACCTTGATTTATGATGCTAAATTTAAAGTTGACGAAGAGACTCCTAAGGTAATGGCGTGGATCTCATTCCCTAATCTGCTGCCTACTTATTTTGTAAGAGAATGCTTGTTCTCCCTAGCTTCTGTAGTCGGTAAACCCCTCCATTTGGACTTGGCTACTATCAAGAAAACTAGACCTAGTTGTGCTCGCGTGAAAGTGTTGGGGGACCTGCTAGCAGACTTGCCTAAGAAGGTTCAATTAGACATTGTTAATGAGCCTACTGGAGATATTAGAACTGAGTGGGTGACTATAAAATATGACTATCTACCCAAGTATTGTAAGGAATGTAAGCTTTAGGGCCATGATGTGTTTGAATGCTGGAAAATTCATCCTGAACTAATGGCCAACAGAAATGATGAAAAGAAGGCTTCAACTGATGTTGTAGTGCATCCCAACAAGGATAACAAAACAAACAATGCTCCAATAATGGTTCTTATAAGTGGAAAAGTTGTTGGCAATCAAGTTGCTCAATGGAAGGAGGTCAAAGATAGGAGAGTGCAAGCAAAAGAGAAGCAGGCAGCAGATTTAGCAAATACTGGACAAGAAATCGTGGCTGTAAACAATAAAAAAGTAATTCCATAGCAAGTTCAGACAACAAACAAGTTTGCATTTTTAGAAGTGGAAAACAGTGAAGAACTTTGTACAAATCAGCTCATTGACAGTGCTGTCCAAAAAAATGCCTCCAAGTCCATAATTCCCGTGACTGAAAATAATGCAGACCCCATTAATATTCACAGTGTTGTGGAGAATGAGTCAGAAGAGCTGCACTTTGATTTTTCGACTAGACAAATGGTACAAAAGGTAACTTCACCTAGTTCATCTAGGAGACCATTAGCTATGTCAGAACCAAAGAAGCTGAACCCTGCAGCACCTACTTTCAATCCTACAACAATAAGAAATCATGCAGAAAATAGGGAATCAACAGCAAATTGTGTACAACAAGATTTGGGGAATGAGCAACATTTTGACAATTACTCAACTACCCAATGGGTGCAAGAAGCATTCAAAAATAATGTAGTTCAGGTCAATACCTCATGTCAAGACATTCCTTCACAGGACACCAAAGTTGAACGACATTTAGCAAACAATAAAGAGAATGACTTAATTGAAGATACAGATTTTGAGAAATTCAGGACCAATGAAAAAGATAAGTGGGCAGGAGGGAGATTATGGATCAACCAAACAGAGGAAGTCTTAGCAGATGGGCAGATTCCAGATACAATGCATAGTGTAGAAGAAATTGGAGGAAATGAAGTGGAAGATGAGAATCAAAGTGTTAATTGTAATGCTAATGCAATCAATATTCAAAGCATCAATGAATGCACAAATGCAGCAGCAGAAAAGACAAAAGAGGGGAACATCAATATTATAGATCCAGGAGGGACTTTACATAATAATGTTAGTAATGTCTTGAAAGAAGCTGAAAAGAAGCTGAAAATGCAGACAAGAACCAAGAGAAAAATTCAGACAAGAACCAAGAGAAGACAGTACAAGTCTATGCAAGAAGTGCTGTATCATTGAGCACAGTGAAGGATGTAGCAGGAAGTGCTGTTCCATCGAACAATACACAGCTGTTGACCAATGAACATGAGGAAAAAGCTGCTGAACTTACCAATCAGGAAAAAGATGTTGAACTTACCAATCACGCATATGATGTTGTGACATCAAAAGAAGCAATAGAAGCACATGACCAAGTTGGCCACGCAGAACTTAAAGGTAGAGACATGGATGAGGAATCCACTACACAAAATTTCTTAATGTTGCCAAGCAGGGTGATCTGTTGCCAAGGCTTATTGATATAGTAAAATCTGCAACAAAAGGAAAAAAGAAACAGTCAAAACAGACATCTACTGTCCCAGCCAGTGGAGTACAAACAAGGAGAACACTGTCCAAACCCCAAAACATTTAATGGATGCAATTATATGGAATGTCAGGTCAGTAAATACAATGCAAGCATTTGAAAGGCTGATTACAATGTACAGAAAACATCACTTTGAGTTCATAAGAATCCTTGATCCTATGCAACAGTCTCACAAAATGGAGAGGTATAGAGCAAGAATTGGTTTGGCACAGGCTGTGGTGAATGTATCAAACAAGATTTGGGCTTTTATTGATGAAATATTTGAGGTTACTATTCTGTATAACATGACTCAACAACTGACGTTGAGATTAACGCACACTGAAACACATGTTGAGCTCATCTTTACACTAGTTTATGCCAAATGTGATCGCATTGAAAGAATTAAACTATGGGATTCTTTGTATGCAATGGCATAAGATATGACAGTACCATGGCTAGTTGGAGGCGACATTAATGTGATATGGGATGAGGAAGAGAAATTTGGAGGCTTACCAGTTTCTCTCATTGAAGTAGATGACTTTAGGCACTGCATCAATACCTACAACTTGACAGATTTGGGATTTAAAGGAAGCATATTTACATGGTGGAATGGAAGATTAGAGGAAGACAGTATTTTTAAAAGATTGGACAGATGTTTTGGCAATCATGAATTGCAACAGACCTTTCCTGGATTGGAGGTAACTCACCTGTCCAAAATTGGGTCTGATCATTGCCCAATGCTGCTGAAATGTGATATAGAAACTCCTCCAATTAAGAAGTCATTCAGATTTCTTAACTTTTGGACTAAGCATGAAACCTTCAAAGATGTAGTAAAGGAGAATTGGAATGTTGATTTTAGTGCTAACCATTTCTGCATTTTTAACTACAAGTTAAAGAAGCTTAAGAAAGCACTATCTACCTGGAGCAGAGCTACATATGGGGATATATTCTAGAAGATTGAAAGCCTGGAGGAGGTGGTCTTGGTTCATGAAAGGCAATTTGAAGTCAATCTTACACAGATGAACAAACAAAGATTACAACAGGTACAAGCTGAAATGATTAAATATCTTGCATTAGAAGAAGAATTCTGGAGACAAAAAGCTGGCATGTTATGGTTCAAAGTGGCAATAGAAACACTAAATTCTTCCATGCTCAAGTTAATGGGAGAAGGAAGAGACTGAAATTATCAAGGATCCAGAATAGCCTTGGTAACTGGATTGAAGAAGATCACTTAATAGCAAAAGAAGCACTAAAGTTCTACAAGGATCAATTTACTGAGAGTGAAGTTCCTAATGCTTTTGATATTCTAAATCATGTACCTTCAATGGTAGAGAGTGATCAACATGAAAGATTGATGGCTTTGCCTTCCAATGAAGAAGTGAAGAGAGCAGTTATGGGGTTGAATGGGGACTCAGCAGGTGGACCAGATGGCTTCACCGGAGCTTTTTACCAAACATGCTGGGAAATCATTGAAGAAGATGTAGTAGGCATGGTCAAGGCTTTCTTTTGCGGTCAGCAATTGCCAAAGAGTGTGACACACACAAACCTGGTTTTATTACCAAAGGAAAAAGAAGTTATGACCTTTGCAGACATGAGACCAATCAGTCTCAGCAACTTTTTTAACAAGATTTTCTCAAGGGTTATTCATGAAAGGTTGATTGAATTTTTACCAAACTTAATCTCACAGGAACAAGCAGGTTTTGTGAAGGGAAGAAGTATAGTTGAGAATGTACTGTTAACTCAAGAAATCATTACGGATATCAGGTTGAGAACAAAACAGGCCTAAATGTTGTGATTAAGCTCGACATGACAAAAGCTTACGATAGGCTATCATGGCTATTCCTGACCAAAATGCTAAGGAAGATGGGATTTCCTGAAGCATTTATTGGATTGATCTTTGATTTGATTGGGAATAATTGGTACTCTATTCTTATAAATGGGCAGCCAAATGGTTTCTTAAAATCTTCGAGGGGAGTTAAGCAGGGTGACCCTTTGTCACAACCCTATTCATTCTAGCAGCAGAAGCAATGTCTCGGGGATTGAAACACACTAACCTGTATTTCTATAGATTTGGAATGCCAAAATGGAGCCCATAAATAAATCATCTCCCATACGCTGATGATATAATCATTTTCTCCTCATCTGATGAAACTTCACTGAGACTTGTCATGAAGGTTTTGCAAGCTTATGAATCATCGTCTGGTCAACTGGTGAACAAAGCCAAATCTGCCATATACCTGCATCATTTAATGGATAATGAGGTGATTAACAAGGTTGAAAGGATTACAGGTATAGGAATACAATGTTTCCCTATGACCTATCTTGGCTTCCCTATTTTGTATGCAAGAAGAAGGAGTGACTATTACCAGGGATTAATCACTAAGGTCATGGACAAACTGCAGTCGTGGAAAGGCAAACTCCTATCTGTAGGAGGCAGAGCTGTATTGATCGCAAATGTCATGCAGAGTATCCCAATTCATATGTTGTCAGCAGTTAATCCACCAATTTATGTGATCAATAAATTACATAGCATTTTTGCCAAATTATTCTAGAGCAACAATGTGGGAGGCAACTCTAGACATTGGTCATCATGGACTAACCTTTGTATGCCTTATGAGGAGGGAGGCATAGGCTTCAGGTCCTTACATGATGTATCCAAGGCACTATTCTGTAAATTGTGGTGGAATTTCAGGACAAAGCCCAGTTTATGGAGTGCATTTATTAGTCAAAAGTACTGCAAGAAACTAAATCCAGTAATTGTACCTTGGAAGCGTGGATCCCACGTGTGGAGAAAAATGCTAGAATGTAGGGACTTGATTGAGCATCAAATCTACTGGAAATCGAGAATGGGATCAGCTCAATTCTGGTTCGACAATTGGACTGAGCTGGGAGCCTTATATTTCC